GGCGAACAAACAGGACTCTCGAATTATTTATGTTTGTTTGAGGCAGTCAAATAAATTGCAATTGTTTTGTTTGTTTTGTCTGTGCAATGCCCTGTCCCATTCTCCATAACCAAAGCCAAAAAGACCTACGCCGTAACTTCCGGGAGCAATTAAATGTACTTCTTAACCTGCTCATCAGTCCAATCCCAGAACTCCCTGGCAGCTCCAGTACCACCTTCCGACTTGCTCTTAGAAGCAGCAACCATTGCATTGGAAACGCTCCAGAGCCGTCCCCACGGTGCGACTAGTTCATAATTAGCTTATATTTGATGGATGGCAATTGCTCAGGCAAAACTTACTATGGCTTCCGGATTTCTCAAGCGTAACTTGCGGAGAAATGCCAGCGAACAAGCACGTGTATGCTCCGTAAACAGAGGGGTAGAAGACGGTCTTTCGAAGGAACCATGTCGTGAGAGGACCTTGGGTGCGCCACAAGTCCGAGTCGAGGTTACCGGGATTCAATGAGGTGGATACAATGCCATCTCCCCTGTGTCTGGAAGCGAATTCGGTCGACTGCAGGAAATTCCCCAGCTTGCTGGTGGCGTACTGGTCAAACACTTCCCCCTTTTCGGCGTTGTAAACATACTCCAAGAACGCCTTGGCGTTTCCAGCCTGGGAAGCAGACGATGATACCCAGACTACACGGACGGAGTTAGGTTGCGACGTCTTCGCCGTCGAAACAAGGATGGGCGTCAGGAGCTTTGTCAGGGCGAAGGTGCCGATACAATTCACTCCAAGTTGAAGTTCATATCCCTGTTTCGTCTTGGAGCCCTTTGCCGGAAAGGCAACACCTGCGTTGTTGAACAGTATGTCGAGTTTCTGTTCCTTGCTAAGGAACTTTTCCGCCGCTGGCTTGATAGTCTCCAAATCCGCCAGATCGAGGTGAATGTATGTGAGACTGCCGGCTGACCTCGGAACAGCCGTTTTAATACTGTCGATAGCATTCTTCATCCTCTCCTCGGACCGTCCCATCATGTAGACTTTAGCATTCTTGGAGTAGAGAATCCGAGCTATTTCCTTGCCAACACCGGTGTTTGATCCGGTAACAATGGTGACCTGATGACATGGTTAGTCAATGTCTTAGTAAAGTCACGACTTTTTTTGAACAGTAACTCTTTTGACATACTTTATCCGTCAAATCCGGGATATCCTTCTCCACGAAAGTCGGCTTCCCTGGGAAAGTCTGTCGGAGTACATTGATGAGGTTAGAGAAATACGACATTGCCAATTACCCCTTTTCCGCTTTTATCAAGTAGGTAATGAATGGTGGTGAGATGGATAATTATGTGTTTGAATGAGTATTGAGGTGATATGTTATTAAATACGTTGGTCTCTGATGAAGTCTGATCATGAGAAGTGATTTAATTGGGATTTCTACAGCGAAAGTAGGTTTATATGGAATTGATGTGACATATATGGGTATGGAACAGGCTATACCTGATACCTCCTAGTGAAACGGTCGTCCGTCGGACGGTCAATCCCGCGGGGTTCATTGACTGGGGAATCGAAATGGCAAGGTTGGAAACATCCGAGCGGGTTTACTGATACCTTTTCTGGTACTTTTTCTTCGCCTCACTAACATGGTCATCTTGTTACCAGTCTGGTTATAACAGAATTAAGGTAGTGGGGTGATAGCTCACAATACGATTCGATGCAATCCCTCTAGTAAGATAAAGGGGCATTTGAATCCCGCGGCATTACGTAAGATAGACGGACTGTTCTCCAACGGCACTTCGCAAAAGCCGCGGGGTTCAACATCAATCTCACCATCATCAATCTCAGCCACTAACCACCCATTCATTACCGCGGTAATTCTAGTCGCATCTTGTCGAAATCCGACCCTAGGTTAGGGTGAAATGTCTTCTGGCTCGGTGACAGGGGCCTCCGCATCATGTAGTCCGGCACCTTACGGACAGGCATGTGTCGGCTGCTCCCGCGCCAAATGCAAGTGCTTCTATCGCTCTGATGGATCTTCATGTGAGCGATGTCATCGCCTAGGGAAGACCTGCGAGCCTGCGCTGGCTCTCCGTAAGCGCAAGGCTCGCACGCCGCCGCCGCCACCTACGCAGCCTCCTCCCCCGCCTGTTAATTCGCGGCTCGAGGAGAAGCTGGATGATCTGGTATCCCTTCTACGGTCTCAGGCTGCCGAAAAACAGGGTCAAACTCCGACCCAATCCCAGCGACACACGCCCCAGTCAATTTCGGAAGGGGCATCTGGTGGCTACGGCGAGTCTATATCCTCGATGTCGGTACCCGAGAATCCGGATGTGGCGCTAGATACTGCTGCCAGTGTTGTTCGTCTTTTACGCCCAGCTACGCCACATATGTCGCCGTCACCTATATATGACGATATATCTGTCCACCGCTTACAGGACGGGGTCGCGGAAGAGCAGTTGGAGTCATTTCGTCGCTCATTCCTTACGATGTTTCCGTTTGTTCATATCCCTGCTACCACGAGCGCAGCGGAGCTCCGTCGCGAGAAGCCCTTCCTATGGCTTGTCATCATGGCTTTGACTCCTAAGATGGTCTCTCAGCAATTCGCGATGGAAGCCACTATATGGCACATCATATCACGCAGAATAGTGGCGCAACATTTTGCTAATTTGGATTTGCTCCTCGGAGTCATTGGCTTTGCTTCTTGGTCTGTTTCACCCGGCTAGTCAATTCCTATCTTCTAGGTAGGTGCCGTGTAATAAATCGAGCTGACCGTCTTGAATCGTAGGTCTCACTACTTTAAAAAGGACAAGCCCTTCATGAGTATGCTTTCTCAAATCGCCGTGTCCCTTGCTCTTGAACTAGGTATTCATCGCAATCCGCCTACGACTCCGCTGCGGCGTAGTCGTCTTCCGAGCCAACCACCCGAGAAACAACCCAGGACAATGGAAGAGCGCCGCACCATGCTCGCTGTATTCCATCTTTCATCCGCGTAGGTAGTTTACGTTTAGCCTGCTCCAGTTATTCCGCTAAGTCGCTATTACCAGCACATGGTCAACGTATCGAATGACTGAGCCTCTTCGGTGGACGTCGTATTTAGAAGAATGCCTCTACCTCTTTAGTGAAGGAAGAGAAACTCATCTAGACATTCTCTTGACCGCGCAGATCAAGTGTCAGATCATAACGAATCATTTGTCTTGCGCTTCTCCCAACGAGGCAATTGAAGTAGAAAACCCTAAAGCGCCGTCAGTGGCCCTGACTACGGCTCTATTAAGGCAGCTCAATATCATCCGTCAGAGCCTACCAGCTGATGTCGCATCTAATAGTAGGAACTTCTCACGCCTTCATATTTAGGCCAAGTCTAATAATTGATAGGGACCGCACAATTATATCTCCTCCACGCGGAACTCAGAATCCGGGAGTCTGCGCTCGGTCGACCGAGATCTCCAGACCAGACCGGCTTATCACAGTTCCAACGGGTTCAGGACCTCGAGTCGGTCTTAAATACGATCGAACGGTGGTTCGTGGCCTACTCGGAGATGCCGTTATGCAACTGGATCGGCTTCACGGCCGACATATTCACCCAGTTCATGCAATTCCTAGTTGTAAACTTCAAGCTCTCTATCCTCAACGAGCCCGGGTGGGATGTTCAAGAAGTACGTCGGCGGGCGGACGTCTTTAAGATCCTAGAACGCGCGTGCCAGGACGTCGAGCGCGTCCCAATAGAATTAGGTATAGCGGACGCGGAAGGACCGCGCTACGGGCTCTTCTTCAAGATACCCGCGCTCCTCCGCGACGTCAAGGCCCTGTTCCTAGCAGAGATGCCGCCGCCCGCCGCTTTTCCAACCCAAGAGACCGGCGCCGACGCGAACGATATGGATAATAGCGCGGGCGGAGCCGAACTCATGGATTTCTCTTTTTCGGACGAGTTTCTTTTGGGGATGTTGCAAGATGACATCCTGAGCCCGGCTTGGGATTTTAGGGCAGATAGTTCGTATATGCCTTTTCCTACGTAGATTCAGGGTTACCTACATAGATGATACTTTACGCCTAACCAGGAGCTTACATGAAAAGGGAAGAATTGTGACGAGGAGCGAATCTCTATCCACACTGCTACCTAATTCATAAAAAATACCTATCGCTTGGAACGCCTACCTGTTAGTAGGTAAGAGGGTGATGAGACAGTAAAAGGATTTGAGAATTTCTAAATCTGATCTAAGCATTAGTTATGTATTCACTTAAAACTCCTGAGGCAACGTACCTTTTTCAGGGGGCTATTCCGAGTCCCTGAGTCGGATGACTAAAATATTATTAAGCTACGTACCCCTTTTCCCAATGCCTGCATCCAAATTTATAGCAACTTATGTCATCAGCCATGTATACCAAATTATGCGTGATATACTTGAATTATCCGTCATGTTTCCTCGTCTAACCGACTCCCTAGATAGAAATATGAACGTTGATATCATATACGCAGCAGATCAATCTATAAGACCTAGAACCGATGCCGACTATCTAGTAGCCTAGCTGACAGACAAGAAAAAAGGGGCTAGGTTGAGGCTTGCTTACAGAGGAGTAACAAACACGATAAATTTATGACAGCAGAAACGCAGTAGGTATATTCATAGCTGTTCACTTCGCGACTTTGGGGGCTATCATATACATCTCATCACAAGGCAACCCCCCCAGGAGGCCGCCCTATCCCACAACACACAAGCAAAACCCATACTTCCATGTCTTTCAACAGATAAATCTGATATCAAATTCCCCATAATCTACTTCTTCCGAAGTAGCCCGGCCAGGATCTTGTCGGCGCTATCCACGTTGACGTGACTAGCGTCACGTCCCTCGACCTTCATGTCGTGATACCAGTCCAGGGTCGACTTATACTGGTATCCCATCGTCTGATATGTAGGATTCTGCTTCCGAACTTCCATAGCACATTCGTACAGATGGTTTCCGCACTTGGTCTTCTCCACCTTATTCTTGGCACGTGGTGCGTGCCAGATCGACCTCTTCATTTTACCCTCGTCGCCGTAATGTCTCGGAAGTGACTCATGCTGCTGCGCTGATAGCGGATGATCTGGGGGTTCCATAGTCGTGTTTACATTCCATTCGGACTTCGGAAGCGATATCCATTTCCTTTCACGTAGAAGGTTTTCAAAGGGCGGCATCCAAATTTTACCGTCGCTCATCATCTCTTGGAGCCTTCGGTAGGTCACATCCAAAGGATTGTCCGACGGCTTGAACTCTAGGTACGTGTTGCTGCTCACGTGGACCTTCTCAAGATGGAATCGGCTATCTTTTAGCGGTAGCTCTTGTTTAACGATATCTATTAGTTTATGTTGTATGCCCGTGAGGTAAGATCCGGTATATGCTCTGTCGCAAGCATGAAGGTCCCAGAAGAATAACTCAATTTTGGCATACGTCTTCGGCGGCAAATGAGGGTCAACGGGTCTAATCGCTGCGATCCAGGCGTGGCGTCCGTACGTATTGGGAGGTGCTTTTGCGTCCCACTCCTTATCTATGGTGTAGAACAACCCGTACCAGGTGTTTGAACTTCTGTTGAACATGGGAGCCGAGCCTACCCAGTTCTTGAAGGTGTCATATTCGCATCTTGAATCCCCGAAGTGATCGGCCATTTGCACATTCGACCACGATACAGGATTGACGTGCAGCCTAGCCCAATTTCCTTTTCCCGCCCTGAGTTGATTAAAAATAGCTGTGATGTGACGGCGTATCTCAGCGGCGCTATCATTCTTGAATATTTCACTTTTAAAGTCAGAAAGCGTACGGGAGGCGGGAGTGGCTGGAGTAGACTCGGTGTTGGCATAACCGGGGCTCTCAAGAGTATCTTGATTAAACCCCTTGACCTGCTCTGTCGCCAAAGCAGTCTCTTCCGTTCGACGACGTCGGCTCTCGAGAATCCGAGCGGCATCGGGGTCGCCTACCGTTTCCGGAGTATAGACCGGTATTTCGATGTTCCTGTACGCCGCTCTGTTTTTATGGTTACTCGAACCGAGTACAGTAAACTTGCGATACTGATCACATTTTTGAATTGACCACCAGCAGAACCAGTTGACGAGGCTCTGTTCGTCGTTGGGGTCAATAAAGTCCGTAATCCAGTGCACCTTCCGTACTTCTTCATCGGCCTCTTCGTCTCCAAATCTTTCTATGATATCCTTCAAGACCTCCCATGATCGGAACCTCGCCTCAAGGTCGGTTCTGCTTAGGCTAAGTTCCGCCATCATTTCTTCGCGCCTAGGGTCATCCCTACGCGACGCGTAAATCGTTTCGTGTTCCTTTGCCTTCTCTAACGTAACAGCTTTCAAGTAGTTGGGAAAATCTGCACAAGCCATGATTAGGAAGTGTGGGTTGGCACAATAATTTCTAAACCATTCTAAGAATTGACAGAGTCTGACTGGATCGGAAAGCGCAAAACTCGGAGTGATTAAGAATGCCCGACCATATGGGAACAGTCGTGTCATTTGAAGTGTCCCGGGCTCAATTGTCGTGTCTACATTTGATGGGAATCTCGGGATGCCGTATTGTCCCGTGGCGAGGTCCCAAATTGTATAACAGCGCTTATTTTCGAATAGTAGAGATAGGCGTGGTAGTTGTCGGATGGCGATACTTGCATCCTCATGGAGAATGATAGTGCCGGCTGCTCCGGCTCTGACCGTTTCATGGAATTTGGCCCAACTATCCTTAAGTTCATTAGAAAAAATTCGGCAGCCTGGCTGACAAGAACCTATAATATCATATTAGCGATATATATAGGAATATGTATGTATTGCTGGGTCGAACTTACGGAGCCAAAGCTTAACCAAATTGCACACCTGAGCCTCCCTTCTCGGAAACAGTAGCATGAACACCTGCCTATCTTTTTCTCTTGGTTCCTGAGGAAGAAATTGAGAGAATTCCAGTCCGAATAAACGTTTACTGAGTACCTGACAATGCGACTCTATTTCTATATCGTGTAGGCGGGCTGGGGCACGAGGGATTGATACTGGAGGATAAAGCCTCACATCGATGGGTGATTTGTAGATCATATACCGCAACGGCGATTCCGAGTTGTTTTTGTCAACATTGAGGCCATCCCAAGCATCGCAGTTCGAAGGATAGACAAGAATTGAGAAGTGTTCAGTCACCAAGTGGCTCCCATACGAACCCCGACGAAGGTGCTCGGCAATATTAGCCAAGGCCGATTTAATATCGTCTGAATTAGTTTCGATGGCGCCAGTGGAGAGCACTTCTTGTACCAGCTCGGACTTATAAGGGATAAAATTGTACGAAGCACAAACTGAACTGAAGTGCAGAGTTTCTTGGGCAACAAAGGTCGATAGCCACGGTTGGGATTGACGAGGAATGCCACCGAACACGACTCGGACTGATTCGGATCCATCTTTGCCGAACACGGCCGTCTTAGCAACTACTTGGACCTGTCCTCTCTCTTGGTAAGTAGCCAGTGAGAGTCTCCTCGATGGTGCATGGGCCTTGGCTGATCCTGGGCTTTCCGGAGGGTGGTTCGCATCACCTGGTCCACCAGCGGCAAGGTCGGTTACGTTAGGCGTAGCATCAGTCATCGGCGTGTCCTCCGATATGACGTCTTGCGCTTCAGTAAAACGCACAGACTTTCTTGCTTTTGGCAGCGATAAAGCACCAGTTGTGCTAGTTGGCGATATCGCCGTCGGGCTTTGAACAAGGGGAGGCGACTCCAGTGGCGCGGGGGGCGCGGTGGGCACATTTGCTCTTGTCTGATCTGCGGTAGGGCGAGGAATTCGATCATTCGTCACAATAAAACTTTGCGGAATTGAAGAAAGGCTGGGAGGAGCCGCATCGTTTCTCTCAATTCCTCGTTTCTTAGCGATGTTCATAACACGCATCGAATTGAAGGCTTTTGGAGCTTTAGACGGATCATCCATAACATCATTGAGACCTGCCCTCTTCTTCGGCTCTTTACCTCCAACAAAAACATTTTTGGTCCGTGTTGGTGGTGCGGTTGGTTGCGGCCGTGTACGTGTTGCTGTATGCTTCTTCACCCCAAATTTATTTGCCAGGCTAGATGTAATTTTAGGAGGCATCCCTGAAGAGGGTTTGGGTGCTGAAGCTGGTGCTTTTTGATTAGAGACATTGCTTTTAGGGGCCTTAAGCGATTCTGCACTCGTGCCCCCGCTAGGCTTCCTTGCGGTTCCTTGGTATCCGGTTTTAGTGATGTTAGCTTTTCCTTCATTTGAGGCTCTTCGCTTTGCCTCTTTTGGTTTTAGTGGTGGCTTGGACGATGATACAGGTGTAGGAGGTCGTGGCGGCTTCTTTTTATTTGTTTTAGAAGTCTCCCCTGTGTTTTTCCCGGGCTTTTCTGGGGGTATTATACGGGAAACCTTCTGCTTGGGTACATCCGGAGGTTTCATTTCAGAGATGACATGACTTGGTTCGATGCTGTTCATCTTCTGAGCTCCTTTGCCTTGGGCTGGTTCATCTCTGGATGTAATAGTAGGAGAATCTTCCAACGTAGGTGACTCAAGAGACTCGGAATCGGAGGTTAGTAAACCGAGACGCTTCCGCTTAGCATTCCGTCTTCTTTTCCTCTCTTGCTTCTCTCTGTAAGCTTCGTTATATCTTTCAACATCAAATGGTTCTCGGGTGCCGGCCTTGATCTTCTCCTTTGCTTCCTCCCAGTCCAGGAGCAGGCCTGGCCCTAGGTGTGCTGCAGGTTCCCAAGTACATTCATCCAATGGAAACCCCTCCCACTTAATTAGATATTGCATCTCACCCGGTATGTCGGGGTGTGGCCTCTCGGCATACAGATCTTCGACAACCCACTCCTTATCATCAGTCTGATAAGCATAGCCCTCATGATCAGTAGAATTTAATGATATGTCATCATCATCATCAATCCCGTGGATCTCAGAGGACGTTGACCGACGAGATGGAGGGAATGCCATATTTAATAATCATTGGTCTAGTAAAGTTTAGCTCACGAAGAAAAACGTAGAAATCGTCAAGAATGATTAATCATACATGGATTTTATGTTACAGGTCACTTCCTAACGATAACCTTATTTTAATAGATGTTATATCTCGGAAACAGCGAAGGCGATTGTTTGTAGGTGATCAAGTAAGGTGAGAGGCGAGCGGGTCCGGATGTTAAAGAATCTTCGAACCATTTATGAGGAGGGTCAATATTGAGAGGATGTACATACGGCGTTCTTATGCTTAGAGTGGTTATCCCACGGCTTGTCGTATCTTAGATTAACATGATGAGAAATTGGGCCTTGGATAGGATGATTTGATGAATTTGATACGGTAGAGAGGTATGTAAGTTGTTAAATAGTTTATGTAGTCCAGTTATTGCAGTCTCCTGACATGGGATAGGGTCTCCGGCGCACTGACCAATGAGAAAAAAACAAACCAGACGTACCTGCTGATTTTACCTTATATTATCTTCACACATGGAATGAGGTCATCAATCGTGTTTAGGTATAGTATCGCTAGTGCTTTGGCCTATTGGAAACGTGAAATTGATATTGGTGTTTATTAGATACATCGGGAAGGTTTACAGTTTTTTCTCTTCCTGTGTGCAATCAACGAGTCTTATGTAATTAAGGTGGGTATGTTGTGCTGCCTGATTACCTACTATCTAACTAAAAGATAAATCTAGTATCGTCACTCATCTATTCGGCATGTATACCAAAGGTAATCGTAAATCTAGAAATATGGAATTAAGAGCTAGGAAAAGAGAGAATCATCGACGTGAGGAATAGATATCGGCCAACGCAAGCCACCATCCGGGTGGCGGCATCTCACATTACACAGAATACCTAAACGGATAGGGGCGAAAAGTTACCCGACGCCACAGGGGCCTTACGGTAGCACAGCCCCCTAATATCGATATCCGTCGCTCGATCTCGGTTTGTTATCATTCCCCTCGTCATTAAGCCAATCTTCAACGTTCTTCCAGCTACGCGCCCCAAGATCGACTTCCCGTTCAACGCCGCGGTTTCTAGCGCGGTCCCGGTCGCGTTCTTCCCACGGATCCCAGTCTCTCCTCCCACTGTGGCCACCGCCGCTACTGCTACGCGGCCGCGTGACAAACTCGCGCCTTTCGACGACATCGGAGTTTGGTCTAAACTTGCGCTCCCATTTCTCCTGTTTGATTTTCTCCTTCTCACGGTGCACCTCTAGTCGTTTCTCCACCGCGTTTGCTCCTAACGCGCCGACCGCTGCTCCGACCACAGTGCCAATGAGTTGATTGCGCTTGTGATCCGTGTCCTCTTGATGACCGTTACGTTTGCTCGTGGCATCGACTGCTTCCCTAGCGGCTAAGCCGCCCACTAACGCACCCAGCACACCAACGCTCAGGCCGGCAGTAGTGTCACTAAACGTATTATCGACGAAGTTACGCGTCTTCTCGATCGGAGTCCGCGCCCGGTCATCATCCGAGTCATCGGTATCGCCATCTCTATTATATCTCTTTTCCTTTCTCCTTCCGCGACTCCGCCGACGATACTCAACCGGGGGTGGCAAGGATCTTGGTCGAGAGCGCGGGTCGAGGACGTCTAAGTTTGACTGCGATCGAGAAGGATAGGCTGTTGTGTGCGGCTCATAAGTCAATTGCTTCAGCGGCGGAGCGGCCTCGTATACGGGGCTCTCCATAGCTGCGATTCGCCGGCTTTCCTCATAGCTCGTAGGATAATCGCCGCCCGTATATGCGTAGTCGGGCGAGCGTTCTCTGAGGCGGCTCGATCGACCGTGGGAGTAGCCGTCGTCGTAACGCGACATGGTTATTTTATTGGTAAGCAGGTTCTGCAAGCGTATACTAACTCAGTGCTGTCGCAACAGCTTGCGGGTATTGATAATGACTAAGTGTATACGACCAGATGCTTTGGATCGTAATATATCGAGTATTTGTGAAACTGAACAGATTTGCAAAGCAAGGCGTGCTAAGCCTGGTAACGATCTTATTATACCAAGGCAGAGGCAGGTGACAGTAAAACGCTCACGCTGGGCGGAAGAACCAGGCAAACGAAGTGGCCCGTATTATTATCTCACCGGGGTGTATTCTGCCTAGGCTCTGGGCGCAGTAGATAGGTAATATGCAAGAGGGAGAATAACGAGTTATAACCAGCATCAGGATCATTAATATTAATTATTAGTAAAGCCTCGTCAAATATTACCTCGAATCCCACGCCATTATGCTGTGCAGTTGAATACAAGAGGTGATACGCTCAGAGAGTAGCAATGAGTTGACTCCCTCAAGACAACTACATGATGCAGGTATCTTGGGGTTGGATCAGGTTGGATCGGGATGGATCATGTTCAGTTGCCCTGTCGCTGGCGGGTGACCATTGGTGGGGTTATGAGCATATGATGTCACGGGCTCCAGTAGAACACTTGATTACATGCATGTGGCAGACATAGGAGGGTCTGGAGGGTTTAGATGAATATATAGGTACCTACATAAGTATCTCCTTACGTAAATGCCAAGAGCAAGGGCAGCTCCCGAGGTCCGTAAAATAAATGTGAACCTCTTCGTGAATCCCACGCGGTTGCATATCCCGCGTATCCAACCCCCTATTTCTCTTAGAAGTGGCAGCGTTCTTGCCCAGTCAAACATCCCGCGGACGACTTCATGAGAGATCCAGGCCCGCAGAATATTGCACTTTCGCCCATAAATTAAGAATATTAAGTAACCTTCATACTAACAAGGAGTGAAAGAATATGCAGGTACCCGAATAAGGACAAAGCCTACCACACCGAGACGTCTTTCATAGCCTCGCCAGTCTATCTCCCGGAGTTCCGAAGGTGCCATGTCTCATGCATAGCACTTGGTGTAAGGCATTCTTGGTGGGCTTAATCGGTCATGGTATTATAGACGTCCTCCTACGCAGATCGTCTCACGAGTTTCACGAAAAGCCCTCTTTGGCAAGATAGAAAGACATAAGTATAAGACATAATGTCATAGTCAGGTCAATTAATTCATTGCTACCTAATCCCAACGAGCAAGGCTCATTCCAATCGTATCACGATAAAATTTACCCGCGATGCAATTGCTCCTCCACAACCCCGCAACCCAAAGAAAATCCAGAAGTTAGCGGGAAAGGATAAGGAGCAGTTGTCAGGACAGGAGATGATATGACCAATGTAGAAGAAGAGGAAGGAGAAGCATTGATATGAGTTTCACTGATAAATCAGTAGACCCTCGATCTCCTCCACAAGAATGACAGAGACAAGGTCACTGGGAAAAGGTTGGGAATGAGAGATTGTCTACACCTACCTTTCGTAAGATACGAAAGGAGGCGAGGCCACTCAGTCGAAATGCCACCTATAAGAATCAAGAAACCGAGAAGAAAAGAAAAGAAGAAGAAAACACAGGCGGACCGGGCAGGCTGCAACAATTATACCGCGGCCATCTAAGTGACGCATTCCAGACTAATTCCGTCTCATCGATGTTTGCCAAAGGCTCTTCTCATCGGCGCAGAAGTGTCTTCTTGGAGACGGAGCTAGACAACGTCGTATCAAAACGCAAAACGAAGAACATTACCCTCCGGTATTAAAAAGGAGGAGGGGCGTGGGTATCTGGTTAATGAGGCCGTCCCTCAAAAAAGAAAAAAGGGGGTATCGAGAAAAAGTAAGTGTTGGCCTCTCCTCCCGTCGACGAAAGGCGAACCATAGGTAGAAGTTAAGCGACATCATTCATCACTCATCAACTCGTAACGTAACCTCTGAAACACAAACTCAAAAACGACCCTAGCACCAACGCCTATCTCACTAGCGCTGTCCGCCCATCGGCGGATTCGATCGCAAGGGGTCATAAACCTTCGGCTCGAGAACCGGACCGCTGAAGTCGCGCTCGCCCTCCGGCACGCCGATCTGGTTCTTGACGCGGTACTCGCCCGGATGCTTTCCCTTCGGCGGGCTCAGGTTCTCGGGGTCCTGGCCCTGGTTCTGGGGCCGGGGGCCCTTGTTCGGGGCGTAGCCCGCGGTCCCCGCGGCCGCTCCCGCCTTCTCCGCGAGCCGCTTCTTGCGCGCGTCCTTCTCGCGTTCGAGCACCACCTTGAAGAACTGCGACACCTCCGCGAGCGGCACCTGCACGCTGTCCGGGCTGTCCAGGAGCCGCATGAGGGCCTGCGCGTCGAGGATGTGCTTCGCGATGACGGGGTCGGGCTGGCAGTACGTGTGGATGCGCATGGATCGCGCGTTGACCTTCATGCCGTACAGGCAGCCCTTGACGACGTCGTGGTCGGCCTGGTGCGGGCCGTAGAAGCGGAAGCTGCCGACGTGCGCGGCGATCATGTCGATCTGCGTCTCGAGGTCGTACCGGAACCCGATCACCTTGGGCCGCCCCTTCTGCTCCCACGCGTCCGAGATCTTGGCGTGCACGTGCGGGTTCAGCCGCCCGCTGTGCAGCTGCAGGTTGATGTACGCACTCAGCGCGTTGCTCAGGATGAACTCCAGCTCGCAGTACAGCAGGCTCTGCTCGCGCGGGTCCAGCGAGATGTTCAGCTCGCGCGCTGTGTGCGTGCGCGGCTTCTCGCCTCGGAACTCCGTCATCTCGGCTGCCTGTATTAAGAAAAGACGACGTTAGCTTCAAGCAATTCAGCGGATAGAGGTGGGTGAAAGATACGTACGATCTTTCGAGCCGTCTTCTTGAAGGTGTCCATGAAGCTCGCATCCTTCTTCTTCGCTGTGGGCTTCTTAGCCTGCTCGGCTGTGTCTTCAAGCCATCCCTTGTTGCCGATCATGGTCTTCGATCCCATTCGCGTGTGCATAAGGTACGGAGTTAAGGGCGTAAAAAGAGGTGCCTCGACCTCCTTGAATCTCTCTTGGACGGGAGTACCGGCCAAAGTGGCTCCGTCGTGCGAAGGGCCTAAAGACACTCGATCACCAGCCTTCATCATCTCCGAAGGGTGGCCATGCTCCATCGCAGTCGTGGAACGGGTACGTTCGAGTCCGCCCATGGGTGTTCCGACGCCAGACTGGGAGTCTTTCCAGACATTGTAACCCTGCAGAATGCTATCCGCTCGTCCTCGCATCTCGCTCGTAGTGGGGACGTGAAGGGGACTAGGCGAAGGCTCATCGTAGTATGGCAAGGGGGTGTCATCCATGTACACCGAAGAGCTACGGTACTGAACAAATTGATGTTGTTGTCCTTGCTGTCCCTGTTCGGGGTAAGGTGAATAGACGGGGTTATGCACAGGCTGGGCATTGCCACGAACCACCACTCCATACCGGTGAGTTTCGTTAAGGTCAAGCGGAGGAGGGCGACGTCTTGCTTGAGCACCAACTGAGGAAGACGGCTTAGGCGACTTGTGTCGTGACATAGAGCGAGAATGGTCACGTGCCTCGGTGTCACGTCTAGCAATGATATCGTTCATTGTCGTCGCATGGGGAAGATGGTTGTCCATTGTCGCCTCAGCGACAGGGCTGAGACCTTTGTCGCTCTCGTCTGACTGGAATTCATAAGTCTTCTGTAGCTTACGACCTCGCTCGGGAGTCGGCTGTCTGCCAGGTTGCTGCGGATACTGTTGAACCGCCGGCACACTGTTGTTGCGAGTATGGCCAAGTGTGTTCGAGTACTTCTTAGCGTACTGATGCTGTGACGCACCGAATTCCTCTGGCTTGGGCAACTGAGGCTGTGATGCGACTCGCGCGTGGAAGGGTTCTCGGCCAGGCTCTTTGGTGGCCGTTCGGCCTCTAGCAGGCTCCATTTCGAGAGAGGCGATAGTCTTCGCAGGAGTAGGGTACCTATCATCGTAAGTATATTTGCGAAATGATGTATAGTAATATCAGAAAAATTTTTTTACTTACATATCGGGTAGGTCAGCAAAGCGAACGCGCTTAAGCTTGTTGTGAGTGACAAGTAAACGAGAGGATTTTCTTCGGAGAACAGGTGAAGCACTGCGTGATCTGCCCGTAGAAAAAGATGAGGGTTTTTCCACAGGCGCGTCCACTATGTCAGTAAGTCCACCGCTCTGAGGCAGGTCTCCAGGCAAAGATGGTGAGTAAATTTTGCGAGGTATCCAATCTGGAAAAGGACCCAGCAGGTTGGGATCTTGCTTATTATTCGTAGCACTGTCGAGCCAACTCCAGACCTTTTGTTGATTTTCTAAAGAAGGTCAGTACGAGATGGATGGGATGCCTAAATTATTAGGTGATATGATACAAGTGACACAGGTGACTTACCTTCACTGATAGCTGAAGACAATTCTAGGTACCTAATTGACGAATTCCTTGAGCTTCGTAACGGGCTGCGATTTCTACCTAGAATTCGTAACCCAAGCAACTATAGTTAGCCCTGAAAACAGCAGTTAGTCTGCAGTCAGTGCTCGAGGCCCGCCTGGAAACAACTAGCAGAAATGTGAATTATACCTAATTTCTTTCATGTGAACGTCTACATTGTCCCTACCATCTGTAGACGTTCATAATGACAGTATCTCCATTTTGTTTCAATGAACACATTTGTATGATGTATACATCGCCTGCGTGTATCATAGCTGTAACGTACCTGGCACCGACATCCCCTCGCAGGGGAGCTGTAAGTTGGCCATCTTATCCTATTAGTATCTCGCTAGGTCGTCTATACGAGATACTATTACCAAATGATGATAGGGTCATTATTTAAGTCTTTTATGCCGCCTCTGTAGCCTCAGTCTGCCACACTCCCAACGTGTTTAGCGGTAGAAGTCTGGACTTTGTACTGGTTAGGGGCAATTCGTGGAAGATGGCTATCTAGGTAGACGTACCTATTTACTTGAGAAGCCGCAAAATTGGTCATGTTGGAAAGAAAATGCAAAAGGAGCGGTGTAGGTCGAATTTCATCAACTCAGGAGGATTCTTGAAGGTGAGTTGATTAGAAAGGTCCGCTTAAACTTAAGTACATGTTAGGCTCATCATTCTTTAATTGTGCCTTAGGCAAGTAGTAGATAATGGTTATTGCGCAAGGGCATTGCTTCCATCTTGTTGATGTTTTTGACCCCGACGTTTCCATTCAACCTCTTCGTTGAATTTCCGTGAGGGAAGCTTCTCGACCGTCGTCCCCTGAGACATACCGCAGAAACAAGGTCCACCAGATTCTATACGAACAACTGACCCATCAAATGTTGAAACGCCCTCTTTCTCATTGTTGATCCGATGGAAGCTTTTATCGTCTAAAGTTTCTTCGACTCTGTTGTAGTCGTAATCGGACGTGAGCGAACCCCGACTCGGCTCTAACTCAACCACAGTAACCTTCCGATTGGGCGTTGGGCTATCTAACTCGGAGCCATCTACCGGCATTGTAAACTCGATATTTTGGAAAATTAAAGAGTCTCGGCGGCGCGATAAACACTCTTTCCTAGAATATTCACTCAGAGTTAGTATACATCCATATACCTAAGATTTATACGTTTAATATGAACCTTCCTATGTCTGACGACTCAACTTCGCTAGAAGTCAAGAGTGCCAAGTCTCCTCGATCAGTTGAAGTCGAAGGCCCTTGAAGCTGCAGCGACAAACATACTGCTCCATCAATGCTGCGCGGTACGGTCACGCTTGGGTCACCGTATGTGGCGCTACTTGAGGTGGTATAGTTTGGCGACCTCCGAGTAAACTCGTCATCATCGTTGACTCCTGTCGCTAAGCTGAAAATTATTCCTTGCCTCTTTGTCGAAGTCCGTTTAAGGGTCACATAATTTTCGCTCGTTTTCGGCTTTTCCACTTCGACTCTACTAACTGGCTTCAAATCCGTCATATCTTGAGCCTGAGCATCCACATGGAACCTTCTGAAAGTAATAGTCGGTTCCAGAGGAGTCCATTGATAATCTAATCCTCCATCGAAGCCTAGTTGCGGCGTAAAGGGTCCGCGAAACAGCCAGGATTGTGATTTTTCTAATAGTCCATGAGCTGCGGCTTCCACTAGTGTGTCGGTGGCCTTTGATTCAGCAGTAGGCATTTGTCTGAAAAATAGAGACTCGGGTAGCGAATCGCTAGCCTCAACAAGTAAGTATTTTCTGGCAAATATTGCATTTGGTACTTTACAACCAACTGGAAGGGGTACTGTGGTAACATCGGAACTAGTCTCTTTATCCAGGAGCTGTGAAGGCGTTTGCTCGAATATGAGGGCACCTGGTCTCCAGGTACGCCGTTTCTGTGCTGTTCTATGCTCACGTTTATGCAATGAAATCTTGTCTGTTAGCCTCTGGAGAAGACTAATTCCGGATGAGCAGCGTTGAAGTCCTTTTCGATGACTCAGCGGTTTAAGAAGATTGTCTGCGGTCCCTGGAGGTGACGTCTCGCTTGGACGATCCGCGGTGATAATGGGTACATCTCGCTCTTCGATGAGTCTGCCTTGAGATCCATATCCGTCATCCCATTGCCTCTCGTGAAATTCCTTTGGATTCGGGCTATTAAGTGGACGAGTACCATCATTTCGCGAAGATATATACAGTGTATGATCAATCATCCACGCCTTCCGGTGCCGTATACAGCTGGGGTCGATTGATGCTCTCTCGGTTGAAGGTGATGAGTCGGATAATACGAAAGGATATCTATTTGGGTGTGTCGATCTCCACTGTGAGAGTCGCTTAGTAGGAATGATTGACGAAGTAATGGTGGTCATATGAGGGACGTGGGGGAGTTCGAGGTCGGCCTAGAGACTCGTCAGCCTTTACCCCCTAATGGGCAAAATTGTGGGATCCTAACATATCTACGTAAATGATCATGCTTCCATCGTTGGAAGGCTGCGCCCGGATCATCCGTGTGTTCACAGTCGACCTCGATCAGTTCATAAAGCACGCCGCCCGCAAGGTCGAGATTCTCGTCGCCAAGATGTTCACGTAAAATCAAAAAGATCTGTTGCAACTTATCAGGAAGTGAATGATTTGCTTAAGCTATAAGAGGCGAACCTGTTGGATGCCATCCTTGTATTGGTAGTTTCTCGGAATGTGTGCGCAATATCTTACAAGCACGTTGCGGCATTCTGGGTAATTGTAAGTCAAGGGTTTATTTTAATACATGAGTACTTTAGTAGAAACCGTATACTCACTATCCTCGTGGTAGCCAGTCCGATTCAGATTATGAATGCCAGACCGCTTGTGAGTATTACCTATATCGAAGGTAGAGTCTTCTTCATCGCGAGGAATGTGAAATAGTCCTCTGGTGACATAATTGTCTTTCGCCGTGGAAATTGCAAATCCTCTCTGGTGGTGTGTGGTCCCTGATGTCATGTTGTAAATATTTAGAACTGTCGTAGATCGGTGTGGATAGGGGTTAGCATGTGTTACGGCCAGAGCCAAAGAATAGAAGACGTTCGGGCTAAACTAGCTGTCAATGCGAAATTATAGCATGACCAGAGATCATGAAGATGACTGCTGCAACTTGGGGGGAATAGGAGGTAACACTTGAGATTTCATAGTTAGCATTGAGACCATCTGATACAACGATGGAAGCTTACTTGCAGGTAAGTACTTGCTCTTGCCGGAGTAAGCCAAGTAAACTGGAAGCGTCGATTAAAATGAACTCTATTGTCTGGTATAAGGTACCTAAGGTACCTGTGAATACATAGATACCCATTTAGGGAGCTGCTTCCAGGACCATAACTCTGTGGTAGATGGAGAGCACGGTCGTATACCTACCTTCACATGTAAATATCGATGTCGATAAGTGAAAGCAGAGTTAGAAGGATACTAACGTTTTACGTGGTTGAATTCTTAATCCTACTTACATGTACCTAGTTAGTGGCATCAACACCATGGTCTGCAGTGGATGTTCCCTACCTAGGCAAGTAAGCGCATATCGCGATATTCATTGAGAAGTCATGATTAGGTTTGTTGATGTCTGGATACCTTATACGATATGAAATATTGTATTCTCGAGCTGTGTAGGATCCACGTAGGTGAAAGTCAGGGGGTATACTCATCATAAACCATCTAGCTAATGCTGAAGCGCTACATTATTTCATAATTGGGCTGTCGCCTCGCCCAGCTTTTTCGTGGAAAAAGCACCGAAGTACTCGTTCAAGGCATCCACAGTCCCGCTACCCTCGACCAAACTCGTCACGATGCCCACGTAGCCATCCGGTCGAACGACAACGATGCCACCCCTCTCTTGGTCCAGACCCATCTTAGCGTGAGCTGCGGCCACTGCATTAGGCACGCGACGGTCCCATCTGTCATCAGCGTAGACGTGGTCGCGGTAGCGAGCAAGCGGGTTCGGCACGTCACGTAAGATCTCGATCTGATCCCGTCGAGCAGCGAATACGGTACAGAGTGTAAAGAACAAGCTATGAGGATTATGTTTCTCGTGGTGCGAGACAGAGTCAATATCCGATCGAAGATAAGATCCATAAAAGGACTTCTTGTTTCCGAGATGAGAAGCGAAATCCTTCAGGGCCTTGGAGGTTATGGAAGGCCTCCCGGCAAAGATATATATGCGAAATGAGCCGTTGAGGGGAACCTCTTGTTCCAAATGTACAAGGTTAGCGTCCACTACCCGCGTAACGTCCGCATTGATCATAATTCGTCCCGTCCGTAATTTAGTTTCTTTGGGATGGATTAAAGGGGATTTGGCTGGATGAGCTGGCGACCAGTTTAGTGCATTGGGTTTATATGCTACACCATAGCCGCTGGTAAACTCGCAAGCCTCCTTGAAAGTTCTGACGAACTCATTATCTTCTGTCTGGGCACTCGTCTGTTCTGACGCCGCTTGAACCTCTTTTGCAGCTGGCGGTCGTTGCGAAAATAACTTCGCATATTTGTTGTCAAAGGACAATAGAGTCTCTGCGACATCTTTGCGTTCGGGTTCGTAGGTTGTCAAGATAGCTCGGTCAGCGAATCCAGCTTCGACAGCATGAAGCTTCCAGGCGAGGTTAAGAGCATCCAAGAATGCTGTGTTCATCCCTTGACCGGCTTTTGGCTGCAGATGGGGTTAGAGACTGTCCGCTCAAGGGTACCATGATCTTACACTGTGGGTATGGCACGCATCGCCACCTAGGAACACCCGATGGTCAATTGTGTACTTGTCCGAAATTCCTTGGCCAATAGGATATACCGAGTACCATTCCACACGTTCCCATTCAATGAAGTACGGGTCAAGAATTCTCTTCGCGGAAGCTTGGACTTCTTCCGCCGTAGCAGTCTTGCGCGGACTCCAATCCGCATCCGTCGACGACGCAATTTGGATATATAATCGAACCATGTTATCTTCGCGGGGGATAACCATTATTGACCCATGCTGAGAGTGTATTGTACATTTCATCTACAATCCGTTAATTCAAGGAACGCCCAGGCTATGCAACGAGACCAACTTTGATGTCAGGGAAATCAGTCTTCACGACGCCGTCCATAACGCCCCAAACATGCGAAATTGGATCTTTATGGATGATCTTGATACCCAACTGGTCCCTGATGGAAGATCTAGCGCCCTCGCCACTAAACAAGTATTTGGCTCGGACAGTTTCCTGGCAACTTCCGTCGGTGTGTTCGAGATAAACTTGGACAGGATATTCCGGGTTGGAATTTTCATCCGATTCGAAACCCTTGATGGTCCACGGCCGTTGAATCTGCACACCATTCTTTGCAAGGTCTGAAATGAACACACGCTCGATCCGTCCCTGATGCAAGAGCGTGGTAAAGGGGTATCTTGCGTCGATGAAGCTCGGGCAACTTGCCCAAGTGCCGGTTCTGACGATGCCCTTGCCATCTTGGGGTGGATCCCAGAAGGCTACTTCGAATACTCTCGCTGGTTTGTGTGCCATGATAGTGGACTTCAGGCCCATGTTGCGAAGGAGATCTAAGGACCGAGGCTGGATACCGTCTGCGCGTCCTGTGGGCGTAGGTTCGGCTCGGTTGTCAATATGCTTAATGCTATATCCCCATCTTGCGAGGCATGTCGAGAGCATGAGCCCGACAGGGCCAGCTCCAACGATGACTAAATACGTTAGCGGAGAACACAGTAGTTGATGGCAAACAACTCACCAATGTCATAATGCGATGGAGCAGGCCTTTTCGAAGACTGGCTCCCCATTTTCATGAGTATAATATGTATAGAAATCCGTAATACGGTGGGATTAAGGGGTTAGGTGACGTTGATGCACCTCAGTATGTAGGACAACCTTATGTTAAACGAGAGGCAAACGAAAAGGTACCTAGTCAGAACATATGTGTATATCTAGATACTCAACGACGAACACTCCCTGTTAGGGGCTGCTGATACAAGTTCAAGAAATGAAAAACGCGGTACCCGTTGCACCGGAATGAATGGTATGAGCTGAGAACAATAGCGGACGAGAGGTATAATTTATCTTGCACAAATTACATATAAGAACGACCGAAGACGTATACCGAAACGATAAGCACCCGTGCCATGAGGTCTGCACTAGTCGCACATAACGGCAGGGACATCGGGAAGTGTGCCACGCCTACCAAATTGTTGCTCTCAAGATGTCTATGAGGGCATCCCATACATGTAGCATGTATAAACTAGGTAGGTACTCACTAAGAGCTCAGACTACCTACGGATGAGTATGAAGGGCAATGTATAGATTATTCGTAACGTAGGGAAGGCGAGGGTGTGTTGGAGAGTTGGGATGCTTCATCTCGCCAATAGTCGACTATGCTGTTGGTTGTGATCACCAAAATAAGCGTGCTGCTCGCGATGGATCATAGCCCCGGGATATTGTCACGGCAATAATTGGTGGGGCCGTAGCGGGGGGTTACTCACGGCTGAAGAGGACGGGAACGAGAATTCTGGGGAGCCAAGATTACCGGGTGGAAAGGTGGAAACGAGTGGAACGGCGACAACCTAATCATGCTCAAGTATGAGCTGAGTTTGATGGGTTTCGACTGTTTTTCTTCGGCGTTAACGGAACCCTGGATTGCCCCCACAACCCTTATTCTCCGCATCACGAATATACACGTGCTCGGGGTCTAATATGTATGTTGGTGTTAGATGTTAAAATAACATTGAACTTAGATACGAAGTACATACAATTATCGTACGATCTTTTTTTTTTTTTTTTTCTCGTACAATCATCTTCGTCCTATTGGGAGAATTTCCGCTCAAAAACTCGCTATCCGCTTGGAACCGGGTCTGTTGCATAAGATAGGCTATTTACCTACCTAGGTAGTTAGATATGGAGCGGATGGGGTGTCAACTTACAGGATTCAAGAGTTAATAGTTGAGACGGCGTAGCCTCCTTAAAGATGTCTTGGACTTCTTCGGAAAATAATAAATATCATCCGCACAACACGGTAACGAATAGGTAATGGAGCTGAGATTTCCCTCTTATTGAGTTGTTACGCAAGTTTGATTGTCGCATACAATACTCGAAGTAGGTGCCAAGCCAAACAAAACCGAGGCTACCTATGTCGTCTGCGTGCTCTGGGGTTTGGATACACCTTGTGATGTATCGGGATCTTGCATATGAGGCTGAGCCGAGAACCGAGCACCTCAAGCCAGGGCTTATTACGTCGAACGCCCACCTTGAAACCTCCTATACTTTTTTTTATTTTTAATTGAGGGTGGTATTTGATGATAGTAAGTGTATGAATGAGTTACTATCGAGAAGTATTAGGCAGCGTGGCAATCGGATGAAACTGTACCCAATCCAAATGCTGAGATGCCCTTCGATTTTGTTATGAGGGTGGTGCAAACGCACCGAGGTACCTACCTGAACCCCCCCTCAATGTCTATCAGTAGTCACTAGTATCCTTGAGAGCGCCTGCTTGATGCGGACCGTACGTAAGGTGCCACTATGGGCGGGATAAAATCAGTCAATGGTACGCAGGTAGAACCTTGAATCCCATGTAACTAATATCTTAATACCAAGCAAAGTATTCGCATTACGAAGGTATATATCCTAAGCACATATATGCAGCTTTCCTAGATAGGTATATATATATATATATATTTTTACATACCTACCTAATCTTTATTCAGTACATATGCACGTACCTGGTATTGAAATTAGCAAGCTGAAGTAAGTACAGATACTTGTATGTAGGTATTTACTACGGTTATCACACATAGCAATAGTGTGGCTTCTGATACCTAGGTACCTACCTATGTACTTAGACATTGCAGTACCTTAAAGATTTAAACTTTTAAAATATTTACGTATCTAAGTACCATTTGTGGCCGAAAGTAGCCTAGGTTACGCATCTCAGAAGATCGACAAGGCTGGATGCGGCGAAAATACTGATGGTAGTAATGTGGCTCGTGCATGCTTATTGCATCTTGGTTCCTTCCATTGAGAACTGCGTTACCTCAACTTTTACTATCTAGATAACCTCCTTCCGCGACGTGAAATCTGATCGCGCAACATTGCCGTCCAAAGTTGTCGCAAAAGTCGATGCGCATTGTACGTAACCCCTACAGACAATAAAAGTATTTCTTTAAATCGCGTCAAGTGCGTGTCTTTCAATGGATATTCCCATGTGGGTGCCTGAGGCGGCAACTAACTTTGGAAAATCAACCTCCTAAATCACCAGGCAGCCATTCCAAACTATAAAAACTTGGTGACTCTAAACAGAAATCATTCCTTCCTTTCGAAAAAAAACTATTGACGCGCTCTGGCCTACTTTGTGTAGATTCTAGAACCTTCAAAAACTTTAATCCAAATCACCCTTCCACCTTCTACCTTTTCTCACACATCACCTCACAACCATCTTCTCCTTTCCTTTTCTTCCTTTATTACCACTTTCTTGCCAGTTTTGAAGTAAACACAATTGACAATGGCTTCCGCAACAGAGAACCGCCGGAGCGCGGATCGACCAAAACGATCTGTTACCTTCCAACTTCCAGATTTACCACACCCTGTCACTCCTCGCGACCCTGTGATCGGTCGAACGAGGAAGCGTCGCTTCTCTCCAACCGAAGACCGCGACTATAGCGAATCTTATAACGATTCTGATAGCTACTCTCGTAGCGAATCTCGTATCATATCCGATGATGAACTCGATGAGCCAATTGTGGACCAGTCGATTATAGCAGAGCAGTCGGCCACACCTGCATCATCCCCGTTGTCTCTACCATCGTCGTCACCTTTTCAACCATCTCCTTTATATCGGCCAGCTTGGCCACGCCCAACTCCATTTAGTACTCAACTACTTGGACTGAATCAACCAGACTTTGCGCGACGGCCTTTATTCACTCAACCTCGCCAGCCCGCTCAGCCCGCTCTATTCTCTCGGCCTTCGCCGCTTAACCAGCACAGACCAAATAGTAGTCTGTTTGCAAATCATTCGGGCTATGATCGTTCGGTACGTCTACACGTTTGTATATTTACTAGTTATCATTTGACTTGTATTAACAATTGATCTAGACGCAACCTGCTGCACTAGTAGCTCAGGAGAGTTAGGAACCTCTCCGACGTACTAGCCCAGTCAGAAGTAATCAGCTTGGTCGACGACACCCCGAACTCCCATTTCACACTCCCCGACGTATCAACCCGCTTAGCCCGGATACCCGCAGACGTCTGCAACAGCCGGCTATCCCATCATCCGTGGCTCCAGAGCGCGCAGAGCGCGTGGCCAACTCAATGCCTGGAGCTTGGCCTTCGGGGATAGATGATGATCGCGTAGAAGCGCGATCGAATAACAGCATGGCTTTTCCGACTCGGTTCGGCGCTAATATTTGTAATGCTGTCACTTATTTACGAGACTCATCTTATAGTCTCTGTGTTACTCTGGGCAGCCGAATCTTTCGTTCGCCTCGCCAGGCCTCAGTTACCGCGACCTCGTCGGCCCCTGAGGATGGCGGACGCGCTCTTAAGCGTCGTCGAGTCGACCTTGAAGATATCACAGGAACGCCGGGTACCGAAGAACAAGTCACTCCTACTCATTTAGTCGATGATCCTATGGATATCGATTCTCCTAGCCCTACTAATATCAATATGAGAGATATTAAAGTAGAGGCGTTATCCGAAGATACGATGGACTCTGAGAAGCAATACACAGACCTAGAATCATCGCCGTCCGTATCTCCTATCATCTCACCAAATGCCTCCGCCGCTAGTGCTGCCGCTAAAAGAGCAGCTAAGCTATTTCCCAATGGAAAGAAGATCTCCCCAAAGCGAGTTCAGACTCAAACAAAAACACCTCCACCTGAAAGCCAAGAGAAAACTCAGCGAGTAGAACATGTACCTGATCCAGAGTGGAAACCTTTACCCCCACCAAAATACAAGAATATCCTGGAGTTTTTCGAGCACGACGACGAGATTTGCCTACCTGGCCTAGAGCGCTTGCGGCTGACGCCCAAGACAACTAAGATTTATGAATTGGACTCGCAGCGCGAAGAGAGGCTACGTATAGAGCAGGAGAAGGCAGAAAAAGAACGCCAAGAGCGACTTCGTATAGAAGAAGAGCGACTTAACGAGTCGCTTCGCCCGCTCGGTCTACGGAGAGCGAGGTCCTCCCTTATAACCCCGCTTAGTCACGAATGGGAACAGAGAGCTAGGGCGTCGCCAGGGAACGGCCATACAGAACAGCATAAGTGGCAGGGAGCACGCCATCGAGATGGCGTAGAACTCACTCCACACGATTTTGGGAGATTAGTACCCTCAAATGAGTGGTTGAACGACAACGACATCCAAGCTGCCTTAGTTCACCTTGCAACATATATCAACGATAAAGCCGGTGTCCGTCCAAAGGTTGACGCACCAAAGTGCGTTGCGCTTTCATCACAGTATTGGTCAAACTTCCGAGCCGAACCTAGAAAGAATGTCTACCCGCGAGGGTTAGACCGAAATTGGGGCATGAAGCCAGCCAATTTTCTCGACATCGATACGCTGCTCATCCCAGTCAATCAGGGTAATCACTGGACCGTTCTCGTTATCCGACCTACACGTCGAACAGTCGCTTATGTGGATTCATTCCATTCACTTGGACCGCGACATCTCACAGACGCCAAGACCTGGCTGGAAACATTTCTGGGCAGCAAATACGTTGCCGACGAATGGCGCACGGAACAGTACGATGTGCCACAACAGACAAACGGCTACGACTGCGGCATGTTTGTTATCACAAACTCTATCTATTTGTCGCTCGGCGTAGATCCTAGCGGCTACTCTCAGGATGACATGCCTCTTCAGAGGCTTAGAATCGCTGCTGTACTATTAAACGGCGGCTTCACCGGTCCCTTCGACCTATCACACATATGATCAAGAACGATCTGTATCCGACACACATATTACTCGACATAACGAGTGCACAACTTCATCACTTCTTATTAGCACTTCCTCGAAACGAAGAGGCGTTGCCAAACCACCATTGTCTATTATATTAATATCTTCTTCTTGGTCTGGAATTGCATGAAATGGCGTTTCGGAATATTTTGTCGTACGCGGTTCAATCCCGCTTAGTACTTGGTACTTATTCATATTGAGATTTGGAGATTGGGTGGAAATAGGGGGGGGGCGTACCCATGCAGAAGGCATGTGGTTTTGTTTTCTATCGTTTTGAAACTCGGTTGGCATCTTAAAGATACCCCTTGAGGCATGAAAGGACGGAGTCTGGAAAAGTCGGCTGGTTGGGAGGGAAATGCATTGAAAGTGGGACACGCTCGCCCCTAAAATTGGGAGCTGGAGCAAATTCTGGTTGTTTTTGGTTTTTGAGATTCGAGCCGGAGTCGGGGGAGCCCCTGTGCAAACATTGTTTATTCACAGGCTATGCTGGAGATGCTCTTGCTCTCAGTCGTTTGAGAGCTGCGTAAGTCCCTATGAAATAAGGGCCGCTAGGTGTTCGACATAGTTGATAGAAATCGACGAGTCGTTCGAACGCAACTAATCATAGGATCTTGGTATTGTTTCTGTGACATGCGTAAAGTATGAGGTCTCGAATCAATTCGTTCTCACCAAATCTACCTACTAATTGCTTCCATTATGAAGATTTGTGTCATATAACATTGTACTAGAGCATGCCAATGAAACCAAGGTAACTAGCAATATCCGCCTTGTAAAAGGGGTATCCTTCAAGGCATCTATTTCACGTACTACAGGATAACTACCTAGCTATAGTAGAAAATTCTCCCCTCATAGTACCTAGCTACCTAGGTAGGTATCTACACGAGCTATCCGCAACCGGAAAACATGAAAATAATAAAAGTCCGCCTGCTACCTAAAAGACTCGAGTCACCATCACTTTCCCCACCTGAGTCTTGCTCGCCCATCTCCAACATAGGGAATCTCTCGAATTTGTCGAAAATGCGACGTCTGCGAAGAGAGAGAACCAAAAAAAAAAAAAAAAAAAAAAAAAAAAAAAGCAAAAGATTTCACACCCTGTCTCCCCCTGCCCGCCCGCCTTTATAAAACGCCTGCTGATGCAAGTTTGGGATATATCGCGAACACTCCTTTCTTGGAGTTCTATCCATCTAAAAAGAAGAAAAAAAAGATCTTCGCCCCTTTTATTTTTTTTTAAACCTGATGCCTTCCTCGTCTGCGGGAAGAGATGGGCCAAATTGGTTTGGGGACATTCTTGGAGGTTGTAACATGTTGTACCCTCTATAGCTCTTACCCCTTTACGTGATGTCTTCAGGGCGCCTAGCTCAGATGCAAGATTCGCTTCGCGTTTTCGTACACCATCCACGTAATGCTAAGCGCGGGAGCGACCTTCAGGAGATTCGGCATCAAGCCCTTGTAGAGGCCTCTTACTCCTTCATTTTTAACCGTCTTCTGTGCCACGTCCCAGATCCCCGTGTAGCGCGCCGGATGCATACTGGTACCCTGTGTCTGTAGTCTCGTACGTAGAACGTTCAGAGGATATACGACAGAGGCGCCAAAGGCTCCCGAAGTTGCTCCCATGATTCCCGTGGCGAAGGTGCTAGGCATGGCGTCTTCCTCGTGGATGCTGTAGGCCCTTGCTGTATATGTGACGTAGGTAGTCTTGAGGAACTCGAATGTGCCCATATCAATCGCAGAATATGGGAACATGCCAATGAGCCCCATCGTCACACCTCGGTAGGCGGCTCTCATGCCACCTTCTGCCCACATCTTGCGAGCAGTCTGGAAGAGAAGAGTATTGCCTCTAGGACCGCCTTCGACATAATCCGATTGTAGTCTAGTTGCATAAGCCACGGGTTCGAACACTGATACATATATAAAAGGCTCACCGAAACTTGAGAGTGTCGAGAGGGTAGACACAGAACCTATACATCCATTAGCTTTTCATCGTAGCTAAAAGGGGACATATGTGAAACATACTGTGCTGTCATGCCAGCCACACCTCCCGCAACAAATCTTGAATACGGGTTGATATGGTGCGGGTCATTATGCCCCTCGAAACCCGCGAGCGTCTTCTTGGCGGCTTCATACGCTCCAAACTAGTTGATCGTCAGCAACACCAAGAAACTAGTGGTACCAAGGTCTTAGGTAAGTGTACCCTGATTGCCGTCTCAGGCATGATTTTGACCACGTTAAGCCCATTACCTGACAAAATGGTAAGCTTCCAGTCAATATAAGTTTAGGGAGAAGTAAATACCAGCAAAGAATCCCCGGACACCACCGGCTTTGTACAGATCGGCGATTGCTGTGACGAGAGGTCTGCCAGCATGCTTCAGGGCCTGTATAGGCTGGCCTTTCTTGGCTGCTAGGACGGCAACATTGGCGTTCGCTGTGGTATTTACGAGAAGGTAGACCTTCAGTCGGTCGAGAGGAGCAGTAGCAGTGCGAGAAATGCCTCCCGCCACAGCACCGGCGACAAAGTAGCCTGAATCGGGGATGTATTTTATCAGCACGGATCTTTTGCTCTTCTCAGTCAAGCTAGATTCAATTTCAACGTCTTCCACAGGGATCCCCGGTTGCGTAGCTTCCAGTAAGACACCGGATGCGGTGTCATTTTCGGAGGCGTGATCATATGAGTGTGCCATAGCGGCACCCATGTTGCGCGCACGGTGAGAGGTTCGAGAGGTACGTGGTGTAGATTCTGGGTCTTGTGAATCGCTATTATCGGTTGAAGAAGGTATGTAGTCTTCTCGCCCGGGAGGTAATCCAGGAGATGCGAGTCTCACGATTGAACCAAAGAGGGTGTAGAGAATATTCGTACCTAGCCCTTGAAGGGTTTCTTCACTAACCACCGAGTCACCTTCAGAGTTGAGGGTGAGTATGTCTGAATAGAATGTGAAAACTGCCCGCAGTGTAGTAGTGGGATCAGTGTTGGGCATAAAAAGTAAAAAGTTCCTAAGAGTGTAATATATAGGATTAGTATTTGGTCAAATAGTCGGGGCGTCAAATATATTTAGTTGGGATATTTGGTATCCCCGGTGACCATCGATACTATGGCACTTGAAAATGATTAAAGTGATTATAGGGCAAAATCCCATACCGCCTCCAATACAAGCGCAGTAAATTCACGCCCAGGAAATCCAATTAATCCCTCAGAGTCACGGGAAGCGGGGGAATCTAAGAAACGAATCGGAGGGGAACTAACCGCCATTCTTCGTACGTGATGAACCCATCACGATTATGGTCTATATTTTCGAAGAATTCGTTTAGTCGGCGCATTGGCACTGCAAGACCAGCATGTTGCACGGCATGATGAAGCTCCTCCTTATCTATTTTCCCATTTTGGTCTCGATCGATAGATTTGAAAAGAACGAAGAGTTGACGCTCAGCAGCCTCGACGAACACTCGGAATTCTATATCGATCCAGACGCAGTCAGTTAGGGATATTTCTTTTTACAGCCTAGGTGTTTGAATCTAGAGATTCCCGACCTTCGTATTGAATCTTGCCGTCGCCGTTCGAATCTACAACTTTGATGATGGTCTTGAGAAGATTATCGGCATTTTTCATAGCTACCGCATCAGGTCAGTTACAAAACATGTCAAGTCTAAGACAAGACGTCCAGGGCGGGGTTTTATAGCTGACGATGATCGATCCTCCTGAGCCCCTTCTGCAAGGCTTTCCAATCCAATTCGCCTTTATGTTGATAATCAAGCTGCTTCCAAAGCTCCTCAACACGTGCGTCGCGCTGGTTCTGCGATTCCTCCATCTCCATCTCTAGCTTAGTTATCACCTTGGGAAGATCCATGCTCAGGGATCATGACAGGCGCAACGATGACGAAGGAGGATAGACGATCGCAAAACTGGTCATCGGGATACTATGGGTATGGCATTATTAGAACGTTTAGTCGGAGATCGCGGTTGTGTCGTGTCCAAGGTCATTCCCTTGAACGGCCGTGGAGGTCGAATTATTGACGTAGGTTGTTTTTTCTACAACCATTCAAAGGCTAAGACGGGGTTGACGGCACGCGCGAAAATGACGGCCGTCCCGCAAAAAAGGCTCTGGGGAAACAGGGAATCCATGCTAAAGCCTCCGAGCCAATTGGCAATGCCGATAAGCACGATAAGCCGACAGGAGACAAAGCTTACTGGATGACGATTTCCCGCGCGGCACTGGGGGGCACTGTACATCATCAGCTATTAAACGAGGAAAGTACAGTGTCGGTTGGGTAACATCGGTACATGCCAAATCATCTTTAATCTTTTGTCCGATATATCCATATCTCCAGATCTATGTAGCAATCCAACCTGCATTCTGCATTTTCTCCCAGCCTTGGCTCCGTGTAAGGTGTAAGCCTCCGTCAGCCTCACAGGGCTGGGGTTTGCCAAAAACCCAATTATGTCTTTCAATGTCAGATTTACTCGTTTCCAATTGCCCTAACTTCATGGGCTAGAATATATCAACCCTTCAGATTGCCGCCGTGATGGCAGCCAACTATTGGGAGTCGACTCAGAGACGTTACTGGCAGTTCTCGAAAGATGAACTTGCTCAGATGCGCGAAGAGCTAGAGAAGAGCGAACAGAACCTGGTACAGATGTTCCCTCTACCACGGAGGACTCACCTTAATATCTATTTTAACCAACGTGAGAAAAGCTATCCTTCTATCCAGATTTGATGTTGATTTAAATACTAACTAAAACGTGCCCTACCAGAGATCGGTCGTTTAAGCAAGAGGCTCAATGTCAAACAGCAGGCTGTTGCCACCGCCCAAATATACATCAAACGATTCTATTGCAAAGTCGAAATCCGCCGCACAAACCCGTACCTCGCTCTCACCACTGCGCTATACTTGGCTTGCAAGATGGAGGAATGTCCGCAACATATTAGGATGTTCGTCACAGAAGCGCGATCTCTTTGGCCAGGTATGACAGGTATACACTCCATCGAACGAAAGGCAGTAGCTAATCAGGGAATCAATCCTACAATGCAGACTTACTTCATCTTGAAGTTTCTCGCATCGGTGAATGTGAATTTTTTCTCATTTCCGAAATGAACTCCCAGTTGATAATTCACCAACCATACCGAACTTTGACGAGTCTCCAGTCCGACTTCAACCTCAACCAAGACGAAGTAAACCTAGCTCTATCGGTCATTAATGATCACTACATGACAGACCTACCGCTCTTATATCCTCCCCACGTAATTGCGCTAACGGCGATACTTCTTTGCTTGGTCCTTCGCCCAAATACAATGACAAGCGGGAATGCCGCGGCGAATATGGCCACATTAACGTCGACCTTAGCACAGGCTCAACAGACTCGGCCTGGAACCGGCGGGAGCGGCCAGAACACTCCGGGTGTCGGTGAGAGGGACAAACAACAAGAAGCGCGGGTGACTAAGGTCCAACGATTCGCAGCTTTCCTTGCTGAGAGTAACGTCGATATCGAGGGCATGATAGACTGTACACAAGAGCTGATCTCGTTCTACGAATGCCACGAGCAATACAACGACAAAATTTCGCGTGAGCAAGTCAACAGGTTTATTAAGGCAAGAGGATTGGACAAACACTGAAGACACCGCTACGTCTCATAAGGGAGTATACCGACCGGTTTAATGAGCATAATACTACGAAAGCCTGGATCAGCATGTGATTCTACATTCCCCAGGCCATGAGCTTTTGAGAGCTTCTCGGATTAGCGAGACACAAAAATGCTTCAATATATATTATCAAATATCTTCAAATACTTCTATGAAAATCATCATTTATAGCAAATCCAAAACGAGGTTAAGTGGTGGAGACAAGAAGATGAAATCCAAGATTATGTGTCCGATGGAATGAATACTAGTTGCGGGAAATGATACCATTTCCAAGGACATCCGTTCCTACATGGCATCGTAGGATATTCCCGTTGTCTTGCAAGCTTTAGTTTAATGCACGTGGCTGGACCCTTAATTCATCAGAGGCTGGGCTAATATCAGAAGTCAATGATTGCATCAGCGGATCAGTTGTGTCCCTTGCATCTGATAAGAAGGGTGCTTAACATCCATGGATGCTTCCATTGATGCTTAACATGGAATTCGTACACTCAATCCATCTCACTTACATAGCATTGCCTGGGCATCGGCTAAGGCCCGCAATACTGACATGCAGAAAGGTGGCTGAATAAGATACCTATCCCATGTCTGGTTCCCCGCAAACCGGAACTACTAAACCACTTCCAATGCTACATACAAAGTATGACGACGATGCTATCTGATGGTTGGGACATGCAGTACCGCCCCAGGCGATGCAATTCAGCCCACTGCCCAGCCTCATGGAGTAGAATGCTTTACATACCTACATTTTAATATATGCGCCTTTATCGTCCGTCACGTCGTGTAGACTTTATGTATAGTGAGTTCCATGGTTATCTTGCATACATACTACTATGTAAGAAAAACGAGATACAAAACAGACGAGCAACTGTGGCAGTGGTTCGGCCGGTAATAGAAACGGCTGTGTCACCCAACCGCCGATCTAGGAAGTTACCCAGGTACAAGTGCGAAGGTACCTGGTCCATGCACAGTACCTGCTTAGGTACACAGGATACTAGTAGGTACCGGGCTTCACTTTCTGATACCTATAACCAGACACGGCAGGAGGAGCAGAGTTCGGTAACACAGCGTGAAAAGACTTGTCTAGCCCTTCAGTCTTTAGAAATTCTAGCCAACTGAACCTGCTCATAATATTCAGCACCCATGAACATAAATTCGTCAATTTCTAGGTATCCCACCACCTGTCGTCACAAAAGTCAAGATCTTCAAGATTATCCCTTAAAAGATAATAGCAGGGAAGATCGACAGCACCTGACAGAACATGGTCTGGGTTCTCCTGCGTCGGTAGATCTGCCAAATTCGGAATCACTCGGCCAGCCTTCTTTTTCGATTGTTCTCAGAAGAATCTGTTGTACTAAAATAGTAGCAATTACCACCTCGTGACCTCGGTCTAGGAACAAATCGGCGCCGTGGTTTGCCTACGGTTGGCGACTTCCGACGACCAAAGATCATCGTTGGCACCGGAACGAATCGCGCAAAAGAGAGATGCGCAAAGTTGTGATGCGTGAACTCACAACTAATGGGATCGATCACTGGTCGCATACAGACAGATCCAATATACGTGATAACCATAAAATACCTAGCAATAACGAGATCGGAACGGAAAATAAGAACGGCTAAATGGTCGTGGAAAGCTGAAGCCAATAGGCATCTCTGCGCACGTATTACTACCCTCTTCGTATCGTATGGGGCTCGATTTGCCGCTTTCGTCATACGCAACCGTACTATGCAAGGTGTTGCAGTTAAACAAGACGGCAATGTCTCTTATTGTAAACAATCTGGATCTTCAAATCTTCAATACATACGAGACTCGACTAAACCTTGAGGGAATACATGTGTGTTGGTGCAAGCTATTATCCAAAGAGGGTCTTCCCTTTTTCAGGGTCTACACGTGTGTACGAGTTCTAGGCTCTGGATTTTTCAGGGACCATAGAACAATGCTCATTACACACGGCGGTAACTTGCGTCTCGTTGGGCAATCACTAGCCATTCAATCAGACATTTTGCCTCCGACGATCTATCCCATTATCTTACATTGATGCAGGCAAGCAACCCGCGGATAGGTTGCTAATTTATCGCTAGGTCTCACTACCGCACGTATTCGAACATAATAAAGATCGACAGCCCATATTACGTTTGGATTCAGGTGAACAAGCGCCTGAATCATAACGTTCTCTCACATATGCAGGTTATTCAAGCAAACAAGCATATCAACTGGTCAGCGTCGAGAAGTGAAACCGCTGGATAATGATAGGAATGTTGTCAGCTTTTAGGAGCGCGGGAAAATTCAAGCATTCCCCTACCTTCGCTATCTTGGCGAGGCGGAAAAGCGAGCGGTCAGAACTCTCTTGCCGCCTTCGACACAGTTCAACCCGCAAGGAGTCGTCTGCTTAGCTGCCTAATGGGAAAGAGGACGCCAGCAACATCCCCGTCTTGTCCAAACCCCAAGCAGTCTCACGCTGCACGAGACCACCCAAGTTCCACTTGCACCGGTACGGTGGGCTCGCAGGACTTGCAGGAGACTGGTATGTGCAATCCTAGCGAATCTCCGGACAAAGCAAGGTTCCAGTCCGACGGCCCACTATAAGCTCCACAACCCAACAGGGACCTCGAACGCTTAGACCCAGGATACCAAATCACAGTGTCGGTGGTTACAGTGCCCTGGACAAGGCTATAATCCCACGCAAGTCAAAGGGCCGAAGTCACCCCCAACCGTTACCTACGTAAGTAATTACATAGGCGATACCCCCGCTGCATACTTGCGTGTCTGCTACGCTGTTGTCAAAGAGACATTGGGCATTCTTTTTAGAAATAAGAGTGGTCTCCAGATTTGGCTGCTTTGGTACTCGATGTCTTGATAAGGTTAGGATAAGGGCGGCGAACTCAGACTGACATGGTCCATTGTCCTTTTCTAGATTTTAATCAAAGCTTCTAATGAGCCCTACGTATGCGAGTGGAAAGGGCTTGGGAAATCGAGATGTCGAATTAATACTGCGTACACAACCAAACCTCAACGTTTCAATATTCCCTTTTAGAGATCTAGAGAGTAACCCCTCCTTGCCCTCCTGGGAAAATTGCCCCCCTGAATCTAGGGGGGAGTTTAGGGGGTAACTTATTCGGGTCAACAATTGACCAAGCCAACATTGACCACCTGAATAGGGCTGGATCAAAGGACCCAATTGCAGAAAAGGGAAAGCATCCTACTCGCTAGGAGCTCAAAAATGGGGAGATGAATTAAATCTACTGGGTGAGCGCGAACTAACAAACAGGCAGACCGGGACTGAGTCATTGAAGATCGAGAATGTGTATAGAAGATCCGGCTGATCTTATGACTATGGGATGATAGAGATTTTGTGTAGAGTGATCAGAGTGATGAAGAAGTTTAAGGATGCATACAGTAGCGAGAGTTGGAGCATCAGATGAAGCCATTCGCATCAAGATTCAATCGAACGATTAACCGATCTGGTCGATTGAGGTAATAGTTCTTAATCCTGTATCAATCGACCCACCAGACACTATCGCCGCCCTCGAGTCTCCTGATGCATACACATATCTGACTTACTAACTTAGCATAATTGCTAGTGCATAATAGCACCTCTGCTGCATGGTTTGTAACTAAGTATATCCCATACTATTGTATGTGGGTGTACGTATGTGGTAAATGAGAATATTCTATTGGATCTCATTTACAAAGAGGAGCAAATTGCCTGCCCCCTTCCCTGAATGGGACTCTCCCACCAGCCTCGTCCGCTAACTCGATGGGTAGCGGGCGCAGTTTTGGAGACTCAATGCATAATTTGTTCCTTAATGCCACACTTCTGCGGCTACGCTCGCTACGGTAAATTAGCCCGGCAGCTACCTGCTGACGATCGCATTGCAGCGGACATCTGGTGATGGGTGAGTGGTCAGGGCATTTGGGATTTGTTTAGTTTGTTAAAGGAACAGGAGGGCGTTCTGCAGAACAAGCCGATTGACACTGTGGCATTCCTGCAAGCAACGACGGCGCCATCGGTCAGGTTGTGAAGCTAGTCTTCTTTTGTATTGGTTCGCTGACAGGGTTATCCAATGATCTCAGGTGGCGACTCCAGTTTCATTCGCCAACTCACCCACCCGGATTTCAATGAGGAAACCCTGCGAGCCCTGGAAAGAGCAGCGAAGGTAGCGCAGGTTACGCAGAACTTTGCAGGTCTTGCGTGCTCCACTCTTTTCCACTCTTACATGTCTTTTGCAACTTCCGTCGCCCAATGCCTGTCAATGTTTTTCTATGCTATTCCCTCTTTGGATTGGACCCAGGTCTTGAACCAGCAAGCGACCCAAGCGTTGCCCCCTGCCCTTGGCTCCACCCTCCTTTGCCGCCTCTCGCTGTTCAAGGTTCTCTCTGTTCTCTGCTTTCTTTCCGTCCAACAAAATCCTTCGCCTTCTCCGAATCGTAGCTTGCTCTTCTCCTCTCTCCCGCCTTTCTCTCTCTCAATTATTATTCACTCTTATCGATCCTACCGCTCACCCCATCCCCTCAACCTCCTCTAAACCTTACCCAGAAGCACATAGCTATCACATATCCAATTCTTAAAAACCCTTTTGACAAAGACTTTGAAAGCTCGTGCTATTATCCATCTTAACTTGAATTATTTGCCCACAAGCTTCTCATTGTTGTTGTCGATTTTTAATAACGCACAGCTCCGGCAACTTTACCAAACCCCCAACCCAGTCTAACAACGCACACACCGCCACCCAACATCTCTTCTGTCCAACCATCCAACCACTCTCCGCAATCTGCGACGACTACGTGAGAATCATACCTGATATCTAGAAATCCCTACCCGCTTAAGGGAACAAACTCATAATGTCTTATTACAACAACTACCACCATCAACCAACAGCACCTACATCTTCGGTTCCGCACAACCACCATGGCGGTCGGAATCGGAGAGCACCTAGATTATCTGTATCTCAGAACTCCCAAAAACAGTTTCGTGGTGTAAGGAGCATGAAAGAGTTGAGCGAGTCCGCATCCGTGTCCGCCTTCCGATCACAATTCGAAGCTAGTCGCTCATTCGACCTGGAGGATGACATGGAGTTTTGCCCCAAGCTACTGACGGAGACTGATGTGAGTATACCCGACATACACGTTGTAATTCGCAATGTGTTACATGCGATACGCCGTCGTCGTGTTATATGATATACAAATGTATAGAGTAAGAGCAATGAACATGTCGCTGACAATTTCATCTGTGCAGCTTGTGTCAATAAGCAGCGCTTCTTCCGATCGCTCATCATTGTCCAGCAACTCGCCAAATGCTTCTCCCACACAACACCCGCAACAAATCGCATCTAACTTCTCTCTGAATTCTACCTCTCCGGCTTTCATTCCTCCTACTTTCCACAGTCAGCAGTCGAGCCTCAAGTTGCACGCACCCGCCGCCACCCGGGCGCGCAACGCAATTCCGATCATCAACCCCGCTAATGGCATGACTATGTCGAGCCCGCCGCCATCCGTTTCACCCGCCAGGATGCAACATATCGGCCGACGGTGGTAGATGGCTCGTCGTATCGCTTCCACCTTGGACGTCGATATGACTCACCATCTACGCACTCGTTTGCAGTTGTTCTGAACATCTTCTAATTTCCGTTTAGAAGTCATTCGCTACTCACGATAGTTGTTCATCTTGGCAGGCACCGGAACGGGCATCAGGCATCGACAAAATCATCTAATCTTCACGTCACTTTTAGGGCTCGACTGCGGACTCATCACGTTCACTCCACTTTCTCCCTGTATAAACATACTTATTCGACATAACAAGTGTTCACCGTCAAGCCTTTAATTTCACAGCTTTAACGATGGGCGCGGTTGGCATTGAAGATAATCGATATCTCCTGATTTCTGTTCGGTTTCGAAAAAAAGGAAAAATACCACGACACCCCGGTGTACCGACCTCGGAAGATGAGGCTATCTGGGTTTTTGCGAATGGGCGTTTTAAATTACGGCGGTTTTTGCATTTCGTAATTGCATCAGTGTTCACGACACAACGGAGTCTTCGGGTTCAATCTGGGAGCGGTACGATAAAGAGTCATCATGGGTTCATGACGTTTTAGCAAAAAAAGAATACCACTACTACTACTACCTATAGAACAAGTGTTTGGCGACGAGGGGGTCGGTCTCTATTTTGTCAAAGCAAGGCAGGTGGTTCCTCCATTCGGGGCGGAGTTGTTCTACTTGGCAGGGTCTTTTTCATGGGAAATATCCGGATTTTTTAAGAGAATCTCAACACAAAGCAACGGAATTGGGTGGGCACTCGGGTGTCTTGTTTATTTCTGAACTCATGGCACCAGGTGGGAGTTGGTTCGCGCGGTGCTTTCGGAGCTGCAAATACAGGGCTCGTATTCATGTCATTTGTTTTCGCTACCATTTTTTCTGTCCTTGTATTACGGTCTGAGGGGCGAGGATACCAGTCCATTTCTTCACATTATTCCCCCGGCAACGGTTCATTTTTCCAATGGGTCAAACGCATTCGCACTGGGTTCTGGGGGTTGATTTGGAGAAAGACGGAATCTTCGTGTGTGTATAGGAAAGCATATTGGGTGTATGGACAGCGCGGGCGGTGCGCGGAAATAGGGAACACGCCAAGTTCTTTTCGACGGCGATGGCGTAACCTATTTTGGTATGTGAAGATAAAAGAGCACCTTTTGCGAGGTCTTCTACCGTACATTCGATGCGTTCAATTGAACTGGGCGAAATAACTGCCTCTCACTTCAAATTCTTTGGCTTTCTTGCATATGTGATTATGTGATAATTGTGTTATATCGATATTGATGTTCAGCAACCAGTACTTGTAATGTTGTAGTTGGGAACTCAACATCAATAAGATTATCCATGCTATACGGGATCCATTCTGCAAGTTGGAATCCATCGCTATTGAGACCGACAACGTGAGAATGTCTTCATCTTGTCGACCCACGGTTGGCTCGACGGTCACCCCGGCATTCCTCGCCCGTGCATATCTCGGTCGTTGATCCGACGCCCATACCTTTTTTTATTCCCCCCCTAAGCCACTGCAGGGACCTTCTTACCTGGACGCCGCACGACGTATGTATGGATGTATGTGCGTACATACATAATATCCCTGATCTTGTTGTTTATTTCTAGGTAGGTAGGTAGGGAGGTAAGTAGGTACTGTTCCCTTAGGCATGCAGCAAGCAGGCTGACGGGGTCTTCCCCCTTCAGGTCGCTTGCAGCCGAGATGTTCGAGGGAAACGGTCGTTTCGGGGCTAGCGCGCGGTGTATGCAGGATGACTGCTGCGGCATAGTATGTAGAGACGGAAGACGGAAGAGATAGGATAGGATAAGCATATGTATGTATGTGTGTGTGTGGGCGGTGATTGCTGTATGTATGTGTGTATGTGTGTATGTGTAGGGAGGTGGGGGGGTCAGGTGATGAGAAGGTGATGCGCGGCTGGGTGTGGTGTGTTCGGTTTGGACGGGAGCATGCGGTGAGACTGCGTGAGGAATAGATATCCGGAGTAGTAGTGCTAAGTACTGTATGCATAGTTACCGATGTATTCCTGTTGTAGGCACAGAACATATCAGGGTTAGGTGAAGATCGGTATATACTGCAGATGGCGACGTGGTTCATAGTAGATAGTAGGAGTGTTTTTATATCACACTAAGTTTATGCCTTTCTACTATTAAGGCATACGATGTCTACATATGTAGTTGGCGATGTGTTAGTTAGACTATTAAGGCTATTTCTCTTGTTGATAGTATATACGCATATATCAAGGTTGTCGTCAAGTATTATAGCTAGATCCTACCAGGTAGGTACCTATATAAGATATGTATAAATGCTAACTCTAGGACTCGAAATACTAAGATGCTCAAGCCAAGGCAAATTTTTTTTTTTTTTTTTTTTTTTTTTTTTTTTTTTGGGGGGGGGGGGGGGGGGGTGGGAATAGTTTGGTATGTCGTATCACAA